CCAACGCGCCAGCCCAGTCCGTGGTGTACTCCCGCGTCACATCCTCCACCTCCTCCCTGGAAAAGGCCAGGATATAGGTTTGTTTTTTGCCCCACCCTTGGTACAGCAAAGGTTCGTTCACCGCCGCCTCGCATGGATCCAAATGCACCCACCCTTTGCCGGGCAGCCGCACTTCCACCCACACATGATCCTCCCAGTCCACCACCCAGCATGAGACGTAGCCGAGTGCCTCGGTGGTTTTGAAAAAGAGTCGGGAATATTCGCCGCACCGGCCCCGCCGGGTCTGGAGGACGTGCCGGAGGGAGACGGAGCGGGGGAAACGGTAGATTTTCCCGCACGCCCCGCAGACGTAGATCTCCGTGAGGGTGGCATTCAGCGCCCGCTCGGGAGGGGAGGGGGCGACGACGCCGATCATGTGGTTGGGCTGGGATGGGGAGATGGGGGGGGCCTCTGCCGCCGTGGGCGAGGAAGGTGCCGGGGGTGGGTGGGGGGAATGGGAAGGTCCGACGTGTCCGCAGTGAAGGCACGTCGATTTATAGTATGGGAACCCCTCTTTGAACCATTCGAGAAGCCGCTTGAGCGCCGCCATGGCCTCTGCGGGCCTTCGGTCGGGGGTATAGCTCGCTTCCTCCGTGGGCACCTCCCCGTACTCAGCACGGAGGAAAGCGCGCAGGTCCTGAGACGTGAGCGGATCCTCGTCCGCGCGTTGCATCCGGTGCGTGTACGTCATCAGCAGCTCCCCAAAGGACGTTTTGTTGTTGATCCGGTCCAAGGTGTGCGGGTCCTCCACCAAGAGCCGCCCTTCGCGCCACAAGGCGGCCAAACCTTCCTTCTCCGCCTCCAAATCCATCACCGCCCGCCGCGAAACCTGACTTGCCTCCGCCTTCGCCTGCCCTAGCTCCTGCTGCAAGTATTTGAGGAATTGCCCAGCGTTGCCGCCCAAATAATGGAAGCGGGACGTGGGGGGGGCGGCGGCAGGTCGAGGAGGGGAAGAGGTCGAGGGAGAGGAAGCTGGCACGAAAGAGGCAAGCGCGGCCACACCCTCCACGTCGTAGGACATGCAAGTGATGGGTTTGGCGCTGCCTCGTCGTCCTCCTTGTTCTCCTCCTCCACTTGCCCTGATAGTGCCCCTTCGGCGGCCGTACCCGCGCTGGGAGGGAGGATATCGTCCCGTGTTATGTGCACGCGGGGCCGCGAGGGGATGGGGGGGGAAGGTGGGGCAGACGAAGGTGGGTGAGAGGAGGTGGAGGAGGAGGATGAAAGGAAGGTTGGCTTCGCGGTCCTGGATTTCGGCGGGATGGAGCTCGCTGAGGAGGAGGAGGAGGAGGAGGAGGAGGAGGGGGAGGCCGAAGAGCACAAGGAGGGGGATCTCCGAGCGCTTGCCGAGTTGCTACGCACGCTTGCTGGCCCGCTCCCTGAGCCCGATGAGGAGGAAGGGGCCCCAAAACATAGGGGCCATATAGACGGGTGGGATGATGGGCTTCGACACGCACTGGTCCCGCCAAAAAAGGTCGCAACGGAGGGATGGGGAGCGAAGAGGAGGATGCATACAAGGAGCAGGAGTTCAGGACCGTAGATTCTGGCCACTGGTGCCCTCCGCAAAGCGGGCAAGGCGCATGGTTTCGTGGAGGAGCATGGGGGCTGCGGGTGGGCTGAAGAAGGGAGTATCACACCCACTCCCCGACGAAAATCTCGACATGCCGGTTGCATGGTGTTATCTCCGACGAAAAAGATCCAGCGCCATAAGTATGATGTGTCTGTCACCTACACCTGCTTCTGCAAGAATGTATGGATTTAAACCATGATAGGGCGTGGATAACAGTGACGTGCGTGTGCGTATTTAAGAAAGATAGCAGCACCGTCGATCTTGGCGTTCCAGGGGAGGCTATGGAAATCCCATCCCACCAAAATGGTCTCCAACATCTCAACCCACACCCAAACTTCACATTCTCACCCTACTGCTATCCCATTTACCACATTAAGCAAACCATCACACCCTTGTTGTCCGGCTTTGCTCTCTTTTGGCCGCGTCATTGCGAGTGCATTGGGAATGCGTGTTTTTGGCGCGAAACGCGCGCGTCGCTTCCTCTTCGCCAAAGCCGACCCCGCCTTCAGCATGTCTAAAAGGCCATGTCCACGGCCCAAAAAGTAGAGCCGATTCGTCCCTCCCCCGACAGGGCAGGGCAAGCAAGGAAATAATCCATAAGAGGCACTTCTGGGCCATGGAGGTTGGGTTTCCCGGTGTTTTGGGTTCGTTTTTGCGGATCGTGGGAGGAAGGAACGGGACCTTAAGTTCCGTCAGCTTCCTTCCCGCTTGGGCAAGACACAGCAACCAGTTTCGAGGTTGGGTGTGGTCGACCGCTTTTCTTTTCGATGGGGGTATTGTGGCTATTATCATGACCTTAGCTTCCTTGCAGATGGCGTGACATTCGTCACGTGTGGTAGAGTTCCTTTCTTAATCTTTTGGGAGGCAAACCTGACCGCCATCGTTTCTCATCGCTTATTTCCCCCGCTCCTTGACGTGCCTATACCTCCATCATACTATCCCAGGGGTGAAGTGCTTGGTGGCTTGTAAATTACTGCATATTTGCGTATCTCTGTCATAGCAACAAGATGAACGATGTTCTAAATCAAGACCATCAGCCGGAGGAGCTCCGGCGCGTGCGCGTAGACATGGGAACACTAGACAGGGTAAGTGACATGCGGAAAAATGGAGCAACCACTCCTCCAGGTCTGCGCAGCCTTACCCTTTTCTTCGTTCTATGTCTCCTTTAGCACAAACAACAATTCGTAGAATTTCTTGAAGCGGAAGATGGTCCGGCTAATTACAAGGATAGCATCGCGCACACCCTAAGTAAGTAGACGGTTATTCCCCCCATTCCTTTTCTCCGAAACCACCAGATGAAGTGAAACGCCTGATTGCCCCCTTGAGTGCACGTGCACGCACACTCTTCTCACCGTCCCTGCCACGAACACAAATATATCAGGCAAGAAGGGCAGGCGCGTCGTGGTCAATCTGAACGATTTGCGGGAATTCGACGTGGAATTGGCACGGTACGTGTGATCTCTCCCCTTTCCACTCTCTTCGTACCCCCCAAAGGTGACTATGGGAGTCTCACGCCCTTCCTTTCCCTTTCGACAGCCGCGTGATTACGTCACCGCTAGAATACCTGCTCGCTTTAGAGACCGCTGTTAAAGGTACGTTAAAAAGCCAATCCCTGTTCCTCTCCCTTTCGTCCCTCCCCGGCTCTCCCCTTCCTTCTCAACCGCTCTCCTTCACGCTCCTGTTCCCTGACACCTTTGAACCCCAATAGAGGTAGCGCAGCGCCTGGACCCAAGTTTTGGGAAATTGCTTTCGCAGCACGACCAGTTAAAAGTGGGCTTCGATGGTGCCTTTGGGAGGAACCATGTGTCTCCGCGCGGGCTCACCTCCAGGGTAGGAGGGAGAGAGGGAGAGAGGGACGACGTGTCGCAGAGGGATGTATGTGCATTGCACAGGTGCTAGTCACAAACATCCTGTCAATGATTTCCTCGCCACCTGACCGTCTACCTCCTCCCCTCCCCCCCCGGCCGGCCTCCTTCCCTCCCTCCCTCCCCCAGCGCCTGGCTCAACTCGTGTGCGTGGAAGGCATCGTCACCAAATGCTCCCTAGTCCGCCCCAAGGTCGTCCGCTCAGTACACTACTGCCCCGCCAAGCAAGAGCACCTGGTCCGAGACTACAGGGACGCCACCTCCATCTCCATCGGCCTGGAAGCGGGGGGCCGGCCCATGTTGCCGACGAACAACACGTACCCCAACAAGGACAAGGACGGGCACCCCTTGGAGACAGAGTTTGGGCTTTCCACCTACAAGGACCATCAGAGCGTGACCATCCAGGAGATGCCC